TAGACCTTTTTTCACCCAAGCACCTCTTGACAGCTGGGAAGAACAGCATCCCAAGATGCTCCTTTAACTCACTGTCGCAGGTGGACATTTAGAAGCTTTCCAAAACGGCTTGAGTTGTCATTGAGGATGGTTCTGGCATTCCCAAAACTCTCCAGGATGGGTAGAACATTGCAGGGCTTGAAGAGAAGAGAGTGAGAACACTTCAGTAGCAAACAGGAGTTTTTAAACCCAAAAGAGGCTTAAGTAACTATTAGTTTGAAAATCCAAGAAAAATTACTTCACTGAAATAATTCTTGCCTGGCTAAAGAGTTCCTTTTCTAATTAATCTCGGTATCATTATCTCTAGACACTGGTGAGTTGCTCTGTGAGATCTTTACCTTCACACTGCTACCATCTTTCACTTCACTTCTGCTCTGTGTTTGTTCAGATTCACCTCCCAGACACAGCTATGAGGTCTCTAAGGTAGGTATTATCTCTCTGTTCAAACAGATACAGCGGTCTGTACAGCATCAGGGCTCCCAGATACTAAAAGACAGAACAACCAATACGTCAGCTGTCCTCATGTCTTTATGGGAACTTCACCTTGAACCACAAGCCATCCAAAGTCCAGCTCAGTTAAACAGGAACAAAGAAGTAAAATAAACAGTATGGCCTCTTTACCCTGTCTTTGGCTTCTACTCCTTGCCTAACCATCACAGCATAAAGCCAATCTCAGTTGCCTCTTACCTGTCTGATCCTGTGATTGTCTGATCTCTGGTACAGCATGGTCAGGTACTGCACAATTGCTTTGGTAGCTTCTGTTTTACCTGATCCACTGTGTCCACTGGAGGAACAAGAGGGAAGAAAGCTGGTATCAAAACCGAATTACCCAATTTAGACATATCAGAGGACCTGTTACAGTAAATCAGTGGAGTTGTACTGATTTACAACAAATTAAGATATATCACATATTGTTTGAAACACTGAGACAACTTGACAAAACGGGCCCACATAAGATTCCATCGTGGAATGCCAAACACCTTCTCTTCCACTCCTCCACACTGATGTGAAGCTAAATCCAAACTGTATTTGCACCGAATGAAATAAAAATCCATTTTATTCATGTTCTCTACTGACAGCCTTCATGAAAGAGCCAGAATGATAAACTTATGGACAGTGAAACACAAAGATGAAAGTCTTACATAAAGAACTTCACGAGCCTTCAAAAAAGTACCCTTATTTCCTACCTGATGATGACACACTGCTCTTGCTCTGATGACTGGGATAGCGTGTAGGCCATTTCTGCTATGGCAAAGATGTGCCTAGACGTACAGAAAGAAAACCTCAGTTAACTGAGCTCACATTTCTACCTCACAAATACAGCACCAAAACTTTACTCATCAGTGATCTACATTAGAGGTGGGCCCCTATCTTGATCTGAGAAATGTGGGGAGCCAGGGGAATCAGAGCTTTGTTCTTTGCTGGCATCAGGTTAGTACCACAAGGTATTGCAAAGTTCAGGTTTCTCCAGGACCTCCTTGGCCTAACCTGAGTGATGCTCTGTGCCACACTAAGGAACACCAGCAGCATGACCTGCACTAGAGGAATCTGCCTGCATTGCTAGCTCTGGTAGGGCAGTACCAGCGTTAGCAGCAGGGAGCATGCCCTGCCAGAGCTCCCCAGGTACAGTCCCAGCAGGCATTGAGTTCAGGACCTTCGAGCAATACTGAATAAACTTGACCTAAAGAGTTTAGCTCCCTAGCATTACATGTCCAAGCAACTACAACTCTGCCAAACGGACTGTTCACTTTCTGTGGCATTTGTCCTGCTCTATCAGACAACCAGAAGAAAACAAAATACTTTCTGGAGCACAAACAGAACAGCTTAGGAAGTTATTTGAGAAAGAGAAACATACGGGGCATTTTTTGAGAGAGTCCCTTGGTGGTACTGGGTAGCCACATCTTCAGAGTAGATACTGAGGTCTTTGAAAGGATTCACAGAAATCAAAATTTGCCCAATGTAAGTCTAGGAGGAAAAAAAAGAAAGGAAAAAAAAATCTGGTGACTTCTTAGAACTTTTTGAATGAGGAGTGCAACAAAACACATATATTAACACAAAAATTAAAATGACCTTTAAAGGAATACTGCCTATTCTGACTATACTGTCAGCTTGTTCAGGACATACCACAATTTTTCAGTGGTCATTTTCAAAGCTCTGTCATTCATATTTTGGGATAAGTGGGCACTCATTAGTCTGTGGTCATCTCCACTGGTCACTGTCTATTCTCCAAGCTTCACATGAAATTACAAGCACAGGTTTGAACACCTGAGCCAGTAAATGGAAAAAACAACAATTAGCTGTCCAGAACTAGCTCTGAACTGCAACACTGAAATGTTTGCAGACACTCTGAAGCTTCTTCTCGAGATCCACAATTTTTACTCAGAACTGCTTTGCTAAGGAGAGTTCCAGTAGGAAAAACTGAGGCTAAAACTGAGCTCAAGTGTACTCATGGGTTGGCAACAAATACCAAAATAAAAGAGAAACTCTGGGACTTCCAGATTTTACCACGAATATTTCATGCTACCTGTTTTCTGAGCAAAAGCAGGATGATTAGCCTTCTTATCATGTTCCCAGTAACGAATGAGCTCTTGAGCTACTGGGTGCATTATTAAAGCTTGATGCAATGATAGAAGTTATTTTCTCTTCAAGCTCATTGTTCAGAATGAACAAGCACTGAAGGAAAAAAAAATAGACAACCAAACCACCACTACCCATACATAAATACGATTGCGATGGAACCTCTTCTTCAGACACAGTAGAACTGAGCTCTCACAGACTTCCCTACAAACAGAGGAAAGGACTTGTCAGCCATAAGCTTCAAGTGCAAGTGTTAGTATGAACCTTTCTGCCCACCCCAGGATTTTGCAGGAGGCTGAGATCTCAAACTATTCACTGCCTCCACATGGTTCCCACATGTCCAGGACTAAACACATCAGAGAACAGCACAGCCAAAGCTCAGAACACCCAGCCTGTCCATCTCTGTGTGAGAACACCTCCTTGAACACAGCCTTCACAGTTGTTTATCTCAACAGGATGGCAAGGCTAGGGGGTGCAGGACACGTGTGAGAAGCAGTGGTAGGTGCTTCTCTTTTGACAACTAAATCGAACCTATGATTTAAAAGCCGTTAAAGATGTAGTGCCTGAGTTTGCCAAAACTGAAGGCAACAGGACTCGCTAAAGCCACAGTGCCAGTAGGCACGTGCCTCTCATCCTGCAAGTCTTCCTGACTTACCATCCACTTCATACAACAAGAACGGTATGTCAAATTCCCAGTTCTGTTCCTCTGCATTACAAAAGTCACATTAGCCTCTAAACCTCATTTCCCTTAGCCATAAAAGTATATATTTTTTTTTTTTTAGAACCCATTTCAAGACTGAGAACCATTTAACAGGAGAGGTAGAGTTCCCTAGATGCATCTGTAAGGAAGTCTGCTAACTAGGATGAGCTGCACGCCCTGGTGTGTGACAGCAGATTCACTGTTCACTGAGGACACACTATGCGCAGCAGTCAGGAGCTCCCTCTGCAAATGTGCTCCTCCCCACGTGACCCGGTGTAGGTCCATAACCCAAATAGTGCAATTCAGTCTTTCACTTAGCTTTACGGCAGAGCATCGGTTCCTCAGCTGTGATATGCATCACATTAATTCTATTTTCTCACGTTAGACAGGGATCTATAAAGTGCTTTCTGTTGTTGAGCCAACAGTAGCTTTGAAGGTCAGCAAGCAAGCCCCTGTGACCTTGAATTAGCTGCAGAATACCACTGACAACACATACTCCAGTCTGGTTAGATCTTCAATCTCCTCAACTTCTACACAGTGGTCTTCACACATGTACACCTGAAATGCATAGAAACATGACTGAAAATCAGGAGAAGTACAGCTTTGTTCCAACATTGGAGGCAACACCTGTACCTGTTTCTGCATGGATTCCATCTCTAGCACATTGTCAGTGATGTCTTCTGCCTCCCACTGATCCTCACAGACCTTCATCACATGGCTGTTAGCCAGATACGGGTCCTTGTAGATGGCCCATTTGCTTAGGTTCTCAATGGTTAGTCGCGGCAGCAGCAATTCAGAGTTCAGCCATGCTGCAGGGTCACATTCCTGAGCCTGCTGCTGAGACCAGTGAACACAAGGTGTGACTATGGACCCTGCGGTCTGGAGGACATCTGAGCCCTCTTTGGCATCTATCTCACTGGAATAATCTGATGTACGTATTGGATCCTCTTCTTGATGTGGAAGGAAGCCCTGTTCACTGCTTCTCTGAGGGCTTTGATCCATCAAAGATTTGGGAAGGTCACATTTGAATCTGCGACCCTGTTGCACAGGCAAAACAGGTTTTCTGCCTGATAGAGATCTCAGTTTCTCTAGGGAATAACCATTCCCAGACCCCCTGGATAAGTTGCTCTTTGTCTTAACCACGCTGTGGACTCTGGGAAATACTATAGCAAACTTGGTATCGTTGTTTTCCTCATCCAAGCTAAGTAGGTATGGAAAAGAGCTGGTTCCATGAAGAGGGGAATCCCCAGAAGGCAAATCAATGCGTCCCACTTCCTCTGCCACTTTAGGACCACCTTTCCCCTCCCCTAATGGAGAAGACAATTCTTTGTCACTCAACTCAGCCTCCCTCAGCTGTCTGGCTGCACCAGGGAAGGCTTTGCCAGACCGACCAACCCAACCAGCAGTGCTTACAATCCGGATTGCCACTCTACTTCTGAACCTAAAAGGTTTGCTGCCCCTCTTCCTCTTCCCAAATTTCTTCAAGAGCCATCTTGAAATACCAATTGCACGTGCCACGCTCAGAAGACGAGCTTTCAGGCTCACTTTCTTGGCAGGTTTTTGACCAAGCCAGCTGGTGACCTTTCTAAAAGCAGAATGGGTGCGCAAGTACTTGGATCCTTTCCCATCACGCACATTTTCTTTGTCAGAAGGTGCCTCTGCAACCACTTCTGCTTTCTCTTGTTTTGCCTCTAAAGTCTGGCCTGAACTCAGTTTAACGTTTCCAGTAACTTTTCCAACTTTCTTCTTCTTGCGAAGGAGCTGCTTATCGGATGGTTTTTTTGTAATAATGGAGAAGCTTGAGATATTTGAAAGATTTAATCTTTTTTCTCCAAAACTCTGAACCATGCTGGGTTCTTTCCTTGTACTGAGGATTTCTGGAGTTGCGGGATTTGAACAGATGCTTTCAATACATTTCAGGTCAGAGTTGGTTTCCAAAGCCTTCTGGACAGGGTTTGGTTTGTAGCTTGTTAATAGTTTGGTCTCAGCATTTTTATGTTTGTTTTTCAGATTGTGAAGGATTTGGGATTGAGAAGAGCATTTCTTTGTAAGCATCATTGCTGCTAACTCCTGCTTGCTGCAGTCTGATGAACTGTCCCTCTGTATGTGTCCTACCACCTCACCTTGTTCTGCAATCTCACACCTCCCACATTGCTCTTTCAATGTCATCTGCTGCTTGGAGAGCAAAGGGCTCTCTTCCAGTGCGCTGCCTTCATCATTCACCTTCTCCTCCCCTTCAGTTTCTTGAAGTACTTTGCTAAGGCAAACGTGGAGTTTTGTTTTCACAGCACTGGGCAGTGGTGGTTTTGCTGCATTTTCATTTCCTTTGTCAATGCTCTCTTCAGTGTCGTTCTCCCCATTGCCGTCAGAGTTATTGTGTGCATCTTTTGACACATCTTGAACTTCGTCATTTCCTAATATATTTTCCTTACTTACTGCATTATTGCCATTTTCTCTGTTCTTAAGACTTTTGAGTTGGAATCCTGAAATGCTTACACCATCATCTTCCTCATTGCTCTCAGCTAGAACAGATTTTGGTCTTCTTGGCACACCATCTTGCTTCTTCATTTTCTCCTCTGCCTTCAACCCTGCGAAGTCGGTGCCTTCATTCCCCGATTCATTCCTTCCATCTGTGGTCACCTGCTCCCTTTCAGTTTCATTAGAGGCTTTGTTACTTTCATCAAGTAGTTCTTTGGAGCCTTTTCCTTCAGCCACAGGAGCATCTTCGAGCATGGCTTCTTTCTCACTGATGCCATCTTCTTCTGAAGAACTACTCCTCTCTTCACTGCTTGCAGTGCTGTCCACTACAGTCTCTTTTATACCTTTTTTATGAGTCCAATGGCCTTCATTGCTGCAGTCAGAGCAGGAGTTATCTGAGGTTTCCAAGATATTTTCTTCTGCACTTTCAGTGACAAAAATCCTGGTATGTTTTCCAACTTGCTTCTTCCCAGTTCTCTCACATTTTCCCTGTGCCATGCTGCCTTGGGATTGAGAACCTGACTTCTGCTCAGAAGCTTCCTTAAAGCCATGATTCTCAGTGTGCTTTGCCCTGTGCCTGGCATTGGGTGCCTTCTGTGAGGAGTCACGTTTCTGAAGAGAACCTTCCACACTTTGCACTGCAATTGACTTTACAGACTCTGACTCCATGACTTTTTCACTAACAGCAGAATACTTTCCACACTTCTTTTTAAAACTGTGGGTTTTGCTGGTTGTGGTGGCCTTTTCCTCATTACCACTACTGTCCTCATCTTCTCGTCCTGATGTAATTTCCTGTTGCTTGCAGGCCTTTCTTTTTTTCCCTTCCAACTTGGACACTAATTGTTCTCCATGTTTTCTCCCCAAACCAGATTCTCTTTTATAATTTCTCTTGTAGGTTCTTTTCCCCTGGAATAACTTTTTGTGGCCATTTTCTTTGCTTCCCTGAAGACTCACCAGCCTCTGGCTTTTTAAGAGGACCTCTTCAAGGGTGTCATCTTGTTCAAGCAATGACTCTTTGTCCTCCAGCTGGCCTTTACTCTTACCTTCCCACCCTCTCCCACAGTGGATCTTTGAATCTCCTGAGGAGCTTGCCTTTTTCTCACAATTCAACGATTTCTCTTTTCCAACCTTTTTGTGCCGAGTCTTGGATTGGGAAGAAGGCATTTTTCCAGTGTTCAGGAGTACGTGAGGGCTTATCTCAATTCACCTATGAAAGGAAACATTGTGCGTTTCGCTGTGAAATAAGCTACAAAGAGAGGCTAGATCATCCCAAGTGGTAATTTACCTCATTTCTATGAACAAATGTTCGCAGAACCATACCTGTGCAGCTGAGGAGTGCCAAACTGACTGTCCTGTTCCAGGTTAATCTCTGGTTTATTTTTTCATGAGTCACCCTTATTTTCTTCTTTTATTAGGACTCTTGCCAGAGGCCAGTCGTATACAGGCAACTGAATGAATGTCCATTATTTTCCACAGTTAACAAAGGTTTGGCCACACTGTAGTTTAAGAAAGAATGATTATTTTATTTCCATTTTTGCTTCTCCAATAACCTTCTTTGTGCTGAAGAAGAGAGGAACACATCTAATGATCTACAGCAAATGAATGGCCAGTAGATAGTTAATTCAGTTTCCTAGGTACCCAGAATCACAGCTGGACCTGCATGAACAACACTGGCTTCCAGGCTGAAAACACACAGTACTGAGTAGATGCCGTATCACTGAAAAGACAACAACTGCCTGTTAATAAGAAAAAAAATTACCTCAAGCTGTACAAGCTGAATTGATACTGCAGGACTAGAATCTGTACAAGCTGAGCTGATATGTAAATAGTAGAAAGGATGCAAAAATATAAGCCCTATTTTTTGTGTTTATTTATTATTCTTCTCCCTTTATTTGACCACTTGTCTCTTAACAAGCAAATAACTACTTGATAAATTTAATATAAAAATAAATTTAAATATATATGGTAATTACCACAAGTTAATTACCATATGGTAAGTTAAATAGTATCTGATTTTCCAGGAGATAACCTTTTCAATTTTCTGCAGTGCAAGAGAAGGACACTAAAATGAATGGATCATACTCAAGATTTGACCTCTCATGAAAACAATTCAGCACAAATAGCAAAATTTACAAGGAAACCGCTTTCATAGCAAATAATGTCTGTTCCTGAACAGCTCTCCGGAAATCTTACTGGAGAGAAGGCTGAATGGGAAAGAATGAGATAATAAATAATGATAATAAATAATAATGAGAAGAAATAAAGTAGTAGAAAAATAAATGTAATAGAACAGACAACAACACTAACAATACAATCATGCAAACTGATAATCAGTGCAGGAAGAGGCAGTTGAAACTAAGTAGGTTAACTTTGTAGCATAAGTCTACAACTTCTGAAGACATAAAATACTGAGACAAGACGGACTTTTTTTTTTTAGGATACTGCATGTTAGTTGCCCACAGCAAAAAAAGATTTTCAAATCACTAACTGATTCTACATTAGGATTTTTGTTGATACATAACTGTACTGCAAAAACACTCTGCATAAATTCTGGCAAGCATTTGAATGCCAAAGAAAACTCCTACAGACTCGGTTCATGTCTGTGGAATTGCCTGACTCCATCTTTTCTTTTAGCATGCTGGGGCTGGTTTTGAATGGTCTGTTCCACAAACAAGCATTTAATGCCTTCCAGGATCTGGCTAAACTGAGGAAGAAGTCAGAAGCAAATATGCCACTGTGTAATGGCATCGCCACACAACTCCTCGTGAGTGCACTGTTATTAGCTGACAGCCTAGGAATGTCCAGCATTCTAAGTGTTAATCATCACTGCTTATCTTTTTATCTTTCCTCTAATCATAGGCAGGAAATAAAGGATGCACAAGTGCCCAGAGGATTAGTCCTGACCTTTCAGCCTGTTGGAAAATATCACTTCTATCCTTTCCCATTATAAAGATCCTTTATTTTATGAGTCAAGCTCTTGCTGCTTCGGACAGACCAAAACACCACTCGGGCTCCAGACTCCACTGCTACCCATTTGTCTGAACGAAGTGCTGATGGCAGAGCCTGGTTTTGATTCCCCAGTCACTCATCACTCCAAAGCAAAGGTCCAAACCAGAAAACAGTATGGGCATAACTGAAAGGAAATGGTGGATCAGAGAAAGGAAAACTTGGAGGTGAGTGGAAGAGGAGAATGAGACTAAGGAAAAAAAATCTTATAGCAAGAAAACCCAACAGTCTGCAACATGTTTCCAAAGGAGAAAAGGTAAAAAGCCTCTTGCTGGGGACATTTGTAATGATGTTAGAGATTACATTAGCCAACGGTGGGTGAGGAACACACCAGCACACAGGACACAGGGAAATTCCATCGTATATTTTGTCCTCTCACCTCTTTCTCTGTTAAACTCTTCTCTTTGTTCCTTCTTTCTCTTCGTTTTTCAGCCAACTCCACAGATTCTCTATAGGCAGAAGAAAAACTTCCACCCATCACAGCCGTGCGATTTCTTTCAGTAGGTAACAGAGGACCTATCAGTCAAGATTTTGTTACCAATTTCTACCATCATCAGAACTCTACAAAGTGTTAACTCACTGTCTGGAAGCCTTCAGTTAGATGTTGGACTATTATGGGATGCTGGTAACACAGTTATCTGTCTCTCACCTCTGAACCCTGTATCTCAGTGGTCATGGTTGCAGTGTACAAGCTTTGACAGCAACACCTAACAGCAGTGGGAACTGCAAAGACACACGAGGGCCAATGGGAAGTTCTTGAGAGACGGAGTTGAGCTGGGAGGACCACCTACACTATATGGTACAAATGTTTTCTTCCCCACGGGGAAAAGTAAACCCCTTGCTGGTTATTGTACACACGCTGCAAGCCCAAAAGAATTCTGGCCAAAGTTTGTTGAAACTTGCTTCCATCCCCAGGCATCTCCTTGCCCTAGGGCAGGGGGATGAGGGAAGAGTACACAGTCAAGATTGCAATTCAGCATAAAGCTTTATTTCTTTGCAGCTGCTATGAAGTCTGACAGGGAATGAGAACTTTTAACATTTAGTACCTCCAGGCGGCAACCTACTCTGCTGGATGGAAATTCATCCGCTCTCTAGAATACCTTATGACTTGCTTACAGACTAAAACTTGACCAAGCATCCTTATGAGTTAATAATAATAAAAAAAAAAACACAACAAACAAAAACACAAAAAAAATACCACCCAAAAATCCCAACATCAAGTGCTCTGGGAACAAACTGATAAAGAACAACTCAGTGAAACAAAGTTTGCCTCACCTCAGTCACGCCAAGGAGGGCAGCAAAACCACATTTGAGATTTACACAGTCCATGAAGGCTGATGCTCTGAAAGAAGCACACTAGGCACATGTAAAGCAAATGGTTTTATTGCAAATGTTTTTTTGTGTACTACTCATTTCGTACTGTTCTACATGACAGAACAATCTTCCAGAACTGGAAGAAACAGTATATCCCTTCTGCCCAGTTGCAACTGTGATGCTGAGCAAAAAGCTGCTGCCCTGAAAGCACTGCTACGTACAGTTTCAGGTTCCTCAACAATCAGTGTCTTTAGTGTTTCCTCTAAACTTGCTTCTTTGCTTTGGTCTAGAGTTGACACCATTCAAAACATCTCATATGTATGTTGCATAGTACAGAGTCCATCACTCAACACCAAATCCTGTTCTTTTATCCCTCTCTTTAAACAGCACTCTCTAATATGTCGGTGTCTGGTCACCTTATTTCAGCACGCAGATTTACAACAGCACTAGTGGCCTAGATTTCCAAATCCTGCAACAAGACTTTTGCTACTGAGATTAATGGTAGCTGAATCAGACCCTAAATCCTCAGTACAGAATAGATGTTAATATTCTGTCCTCCTGGGGGCTTAAAGTTGATACTGCTTCTCTACAATGCCAAATGCAGTAGAAAAAAAAAATAAATAAAAGTTTTTATGTGCTACTGCTAGACAGTCATGTGTCAGGAAAACTAAAGCCTTCCGCGAAACAAAAATGCTGCAATACTCGGATGATGAGGAAGATCAGGAACACTGCCCAAATTCGTAGGGAGCTTCAACACAGGATTTCGATCTGACTCACTGTAAAGACAGGACCCCAGGCTCTGACTCTAGGTTAGAACTTGAAAATCTAGAGTTCACGATTCTTCTGAGAGGTTTTTTAAGCAGATTGTTTTGTAACACCACTGTCACTACTGGGAATGGTAAAATGAATCACTGCTTATATAAACAACTCCTTTGACATCAGACCTGCTTTGATTAACTGCCCTGGACCATCTGCCTCCTGGCCACACTGGAGCAGGTGAAAGATCCTGTTCATCAGTTTTTCAACTCCTCTCACTGTACCAACTTAATCTAAATCACTACAGGAAAAAAAAAAAATCTTTTTTTTCTTCCTTTTTAGAAGAAATAAGAATACTTTACATCAGAGAAAGGAGAACCCCAACACTATTAAAAAACACAGCATGAGTCTACAGACAAAAAGAGGAGCAAATGGCTCATGCTGTTATTTTAAGACCAGTAGAGAAGTGAGACTCATCTTTCCTAAACACAGTGGTTTCTCCCGACTCATACAGAGGAAAAAGTACAATCATTAAAGGGAAACACTTGGAACTTAATTCTTAACAGTTTCTATTTTCATTCACCTGCAGAAATTGCTCAAGCTCCTTCTTTAGCACTCTGCACAAAAACTTTTTCAACATACCTATGCCGTCCATCCTGATTCCAGCAAGCTTCTCAGTACCACATATCATGGGTCATATTTGTGTATATGGGAACATATTCCTTCTCCTGTCCCTTGTTTCCACGCAGCCTAGAGTCTGTCCCAGCGTTCTTGCAAGCCTGCCCAGCTGTGGAGCCCAACATCAATTCTAGCTGGGCTGTGCCCAAACAGCAGATGATTACAGGCATATGGAAGGAAAGTGGCATCAATAATTCAAGGTTTCTCATGGTACCTTTGAACTTTTCAACCAGCAATATTACCAGCTGGCTGGCAGAGTTTTGGATAAGAGAAGAGGTGGGATTTCACCTAGGCAAGAGTCAGGCTCAGCTGCGGTATGACTAGGTACATCTCAAAAGAAAGACTGAAAAGGAGAGGTCAATTTCAATATCAAAACAAGTCTGCTATAATCCAAGAGGCTACCAGACAAG